TTCACACATATGAAATCGATCACAAAGATAGTCTTTTATTTTGGATGATTGATTGATATATGTTCTTTAATTAGTAATTTCAATTCATTGATAATGCCTCTATATGACAAAATTAGTTTGCTTCCTTTTTTTTGTCAATACTATACATCATGTTTAGTTAATCAAGAGATGACCGTTGAACGATCAGTATAATAAGAGTAACATTTTCATGTTAGTGAAAATAAAGGTAAAAAGTTTCGCATTTTTTAGTTCTTTTTTAAAGTCAACGTGAAATACTTCTGATCATACAATACAACAAAACGTAAGGGACAAAATAGCTGACTTTAGCCTGATGTTTTTCTATGAGGATAGTCACGATAACTTTAAGATTGTCTGAAACTTTCGTGTAACATTAGTGTTTCCTATTTTCTACTTATTAAGTTAATAATTGTTTGGAGCTTTGTGAATATTTTTGATTCCTAAGATTTTGATCATCTTTTCAATTCATACTCATGGACCAAATAGGATAGGCATAGACAATTTTTCTTCTATTCATACTAACAGGTTTAATAAATCCAATAATATGGAGTTCATGAAGAAGATGAATCACAACATAATTCAGAGTTTTTATATTTCTTCATAAAAAGAGATTTATCTGTTGAATCTGGCTAGATGTATTTGGGTCTATTAAATATGAAAACTCTACAAACATATTGTCAGACTTAAGAGAATCGATCAGAGTCTATCATGTCTCACTTTCTTTGTGTGTGTTCTTACAACTTCACCTTCATTAAAAAATTTTAGACATAAGTGTCGGCGTGTTAGTGTTTCGTGCAATTGGTTCTACATCGCTAGACGATAGAGTACAAAGAAAAAATAGAATTACTATATTCGAAACCGTGTTTCTGGTTAGTTGAGAATAATTATTGTATATATTATTCAAATTTGAAAACGTCGTTTTTCCATTTTTAGAACATGGAAAAAATTTCGTTCTATAATATAAGCCTATATATTTACTTTATTAGTAATTCTAGCGCCATGACAAGATAAGATAACATTTATTCCGTTGCTAATATTTAGATGATAAATTTTGAATGTGTCTGATTTGAAAAACAAGATTATGTAATTTTTATGAGTGAATTCAACAGTTTTGAATTATTTTATAGATTCAACTCAAAGTTTCTTCATTATCTCTACAATAATAATCCAAGATGATCTTGATTATTCTTTATTTTATCGAAAGAAACAGATTGATGATTTTTTTGGCCACAAATTTGCCAGTAAAACCTACGTAGAGCTAAAACGTCGATCTCACACATTTTTTAAGTTCCAGTATACTGATACAAGATAGATTAAGTTAAAATTCCTAATAAATCATAGTTGCTTTCCAAGAATAACCAACTGCCAAAGAAATAATTTATCTTAGTATTTCTTCATTCCACAGAGAACGTTTCTTTTTAAAGTTTTTTCTACTGACACTCTATTTTTGAATTATCTGGTCGGTATGCATGCATTTTCTGATCTATTTTATTTCATGTTTCTTACATCACAATTATTATTCAAATCATTGTTTAACTGAAAATTAAGCCTAATGTACACATCAATTGTATCAATAGAACATCTTAATGCTCGATTACGCATTGCGATAAACTCAGAAGCATACTTATATTTCCACAGCTAGAAATTGATAGGTTCATTTTTTTTTCGTCATATAATGACTGTGACAATTCGACACAACATTAACCGACGTCATTGATATCTATTGTATAACAGTTTATCTGCAAAAACACCAGAACGTTACCTACTGTAACATTCATGCCTTCAATAGTTTTATGAAAAATTGTATTTAAGATAAAACAGTTTGTTTTAGAGCGTAGCGACTTACAATTCTCGATTTTTAATTAGATAAAAAAAGATTTTTACATATTATTTCCCTATTGGTGTTTTAGATTAAGAGGAAGACTTGAATATGGATCGACGCCGACTAGCTTTGATCTTCGGAAATGAAAATTACAGCGACACGGCAAAATTGAAAAGTTGTGTCAAGGATGCAGATGATATGGCAGTTGCATTAACTAACTTGGGTGAGTCTTTATGAATGACATTTTAATGAAGAATAAAGTTTTTAAAATTCTTTTTTTGCTATACTCTAGGTTTTCAATGCACGAAATATCATAATTTGAATAAACGTGCTATGGATATTGCTATTAGAGACTTTTGTACAGCAATTGTTGATAATGATTGTGTTTTAATATATTTTTCTGGACATGGCATGGAAGCATACGTGAGGATTACGAAGTATTTCTTACGCTTATTTGAAAACTTCAGCAGTCATTTAGTCATGTTACAATACGTGTTGTATCTAAAAAGTTGAAGTTCACTAACTACTTGGAATAAATGTTGTAGAGGAATCACGCAGTGATATAATTTGATATACTTATTTTCAACAATACTTCCCAAAATAGTGTGATTCTGTCATTTGTGAGCATAGTTCCTAGTAATACTAGATTTTTGTGTTCCTTGGAAAGATAGTTCAATTTGTATGAACTTTCTTTTTCAATTTCGTGTTGATATGTTGAAGTTAATCTCTTAGTTAATCTATTACAACTCTGTTCGATCACTATTTTATTTCTACCTAAAATTACTACTGGATTTGTAGGAGCAAGTCACACAGTAGTAAAATACAAAATCTTTCTAGATTTGACGTATGGATTTCATGCCAAAAAATAAAGTGTTCCGCTGTTACCTAACTACCAATATATCACTATATATAGAAATGACACTAAAATAGTCGAATACTGGTTCTAGCGTAGTTTTCCAAGATACCTCTTCTAAACAATGATGCATTTGTATATTTCATTAAATCAGATTACAGAATTATGTTTTCTAATCGAGTTTTATGTGGTAGATTATGGCTTGTTCTAAAACATGTAGGACTATTGTCGTCAGTGAATTCAACTCTAGGAAAAAGAAGCCGCATGAGTTTAGATCTGAAGGATAAATTGTTTTCGGATATGATTCAACACGATTTTCTTCAAATAATTGGTAGATAATCGACATTTTCTGTAGGAAAAATGAGAATTTCAATACTGGAGTTTTAATAGGTTCCTGTACGCTGCTGAAAGTCTCTCTTAGTTAAGATATTTACAGAGTGACTTCTTCTTAATAGGTCTTAATGATATAATCTTGATTAAACTGAGTTCATGAAACAAATTTACAAGATTTGTTAATTAGTCTCGCTCTTTAGTGTCAATAAATTTTTATTATTGTTGAAACACTTTCTATGGCTGCAACTTTCGGGATACTCCATTATATTTTTATCATTATGATAAAACTATGATCTACCATTAATAATGATGCAATATATAAGATCAAATTAGTCCTTTCGAACTCATTAGGTAAATGACAACATAATCGAGTATGAAACTACTTTTAGTAGATAAGTCAAAAAAAAATGACTCTAACTACAGGCGAAAAGACTAGTCGTCACCTTAATGAAAACATTTGCTTCTATTTTTCCCTTACATTCTGATAAACAACAGTTAAAGCAACAAAAATGAAGATTTGTCTTATCCCAAAGATCAAATATGCAGAGATTCCTAGTTTATACCGTTCTAGTCAGACAGTTTGACAAAGCTCTATTCCTGACTTTGAAGTTCACATCTTTGCCTGAAAACCACATAGTAACTAAACAGAATATTTACCATTTCATTCGTTCTTCGAATTTTAATCTAACGTTATTGTCGGTTTTTCGACATCATGAAAACCTGCTTGTGATGGCTACCGCGATGGGCCAATATTGTGGCCACTATTGATTTAATATACGAATTTCGGCATTCCATTTTATGAATCTCCCTGAGTGAAAATTATGTTTTTCTTTTTTTATACAATCCAATCAATAAAGCTTTTTGAGTCTCATGAAACGAAAGAAATATAACCCTATCAAGTAGTTTCAATGATCTCATATTAGAAAAAATTCAGCTGCTGTTCTCAGCTCATCTTGGGTAAACTATTGAAAAATCATGATTTGTTTAGGCTATCATTAATGATCTATCGAATGTTGAATCCATATTTCTAATACGAGTAATTCGATTTTTCGTTCTTTTTTGTGCCAGCAGCACAATAATCACATGATTCATCCATATATAATTCTCTAGTGCCCTATGCCAACATATATTTTCAAAGAGAATTTCTATGAATCGTAGAGAAAAGGCAAATCATGAGCTGTTATAGAAAAAACATTGCGTAGTCAGATATATCATTCTTTCTAATCAAAGATTCAAGCAAATAATGTTATTTCGAGATGTATTTATCGATAGATTATCGTTTGTAAGTAGGATTTCTCGAGTTCCCTTCAAATTTAGCCTTGATACTATGCTTTCTCTACAGAAGGGCAAAAAAAATTTTCGATCGTAGTGAGCAGTTCATTTTTCCAAAAGTTATCAATAAATTTATTAATTATAGGAAATCGACTACAAACCTAACTGCATTTACCAATATTAGTTAGGGCTAACTGTACAAAGAATATAGAACCATTTCATCAAGAAAAATCTGCGTCATCATGAGTGAATTCTCTACACACATGCAAAGTATTTCGATTGGTATCCACGATGTCCTACGAAAATAATGATAAAGTAACTGGTAGTAACTCGATTCTTCTATTACCAATTAATAGACAGACAGCGATAGCCTCTTTCACATCAAAGGTATTGATTACATCAAGGAAGAGCAATCCATTGAAGAGACGTGTACACAAGAGCTGTAGTTCTTCGATGAGCTGAACAGACTATTGTTACTCGTACTACGAACCATCTCAGGAAACGTTGCTTATTAAAAAGGTGTAGTCGAACATGACTAATGACTACTAGAGTACATGGATATAACGGAAGAGAACAGTCACGCTCACATTCACACTTTTCGAGAATTCTATCGATGTCACCTATTACTTTCAGGGTAAGAACTATTTACTGCCAATAGAACCGTTGCACGATCCAGAATTCGATTGTATAAGTTTGGATACCATGTTGAAGAATCTGAACCGTTCTGGAAATAATCTTTTAAACATTATTATTCTGGACGCTTGTCGATTTGATGAAGACAATGATACTTGGAGAATAAAAGCTAGCAGTACACAAGCACATCTTAAACCAGCATTTGGTAAAGCATTAACGTCACATGTTAACATACCACAAGAATCACAATTTGCATTGATATTTTCATCTGATCCTGGTACAGTATCTTACGCTGGTGAAGAAGGTGGAAATAGTTTCTTTACATCGGCGCTGTTAACTCATTTGACAACATCACAGTTAGAGCTTGATGGTATGATGAAGCAAGTTAGAAGAGAAATGTTACAAAACTCATTGGGTCAACAACGACCGTGGATCCATTCATGTCTAACAGAAGACTTTTATTTCAATCAAAGTTTGTAATGAAGACATTTGTTCTTGAGTTTCTCTTTCTGATTTCTAAGACATTGAAACCTCATAAAATGTTTAGTATGCTCTAATATCACTTGTATTTTAAGAAACTATGTGAACACTGTCTCAAGTTCGAGACGAATCGGAAAATCTTGATGTAAACCTATTCAATTCGATTCCATTATATTAGCAGTTCAATATAAATCGGCTATTATTCTTTGATTTGAAGTCAGTATAAGCTAATGAAATCAATCGAATAACCATATCAGAGTTGACATTACAGTCTATGAACTAGTTCCACATTCTCAGTAATCAACAGTCTATCACGAAACTAGTCGAATATGTTTAAAAGCTAACGCTAAATAACAATAACAATTAGGATTTCTTGAAGTTACAGGTTATGCTCAGATACAGTGTCATGACACTCTGATAAGATTTGGATCAGTTTCTATTAGCAGTCAGGGAACAATGTTTAGGTAATTATTCAACTCGAAATCGTTTTTTAACATTTCAGTCAAGAACTAATACATATTGTTGGTATTTTGAAGATACTTTTTTTTCTCAGAAATTCTTTTACAATAAAAACACTCTTTAAATAGAGTGTACTAGACAGCTTCATCAAGAAAAATTGGAAAACGAGATAAATCTTCAAAGGTACAACGTTAGAATTCCAAATTACACAATATTTTTCGAAAACTAGTCAGTACGATTTATGGAGTAATAAAGTGAGCCAGACAATGAGACCAGTTGAATCGTAATTGATGGCTCTCACTATATTCATCGAACTTTGTTATAGTGTCAAAAGACCTTTCCCATATGACTATCACTTTTCTTTTTACATAGTTTAACATTGATTTAAAACCCTATTTCCCAAAAAATAACGAGTAACCGACTTATCCATGGTTACTGATTGTTTTTCTTAGTCTAAATGTTATCTCTGATCAATATTTCTATAGCAATGTATATTTAAAATTTTCATTCTTGCATAATCGGCATTCCAGAACTTTGATTAAAATGTGCTCAATTTATGTTTATCGGCCACTTATAAACAGATAGTTCAGTCTCACATTTGAATCAGTTCGGAAAAATAAAATAAACATTTTCAACTTGCTTATATCTGTCACGTAGATAAAGTTAGCACCATATTCGAGTTTTTTGCGTCCGGATTCGTTTTTTGACTTGGGTTGGCTCTCTACTTGGTTGGGTTATATGCATAATTTAATTTTGCATCGAATAGTGGCACTTTCGATTGGGGTCATCGAGCAAAAAACTCACTTAGCTTCGACATACTGACTTTTTTGGGAACTTTTCCAAAAGTATTTCGCGTCCCGATTCGCTTTCTCACTTGGGTTGGCTCTACAAATGGTTGGGTTGAGTTTAGAATTAAATTCTGCGTCGAATGATACCAATTTCGACTAGAGTTGCCAGGCAAAATCGACAGGTGAGAGTGAACGAGGACCAGAAATTTCGACCTGCCACTGCTACTGCCATCTAATGTTTTTGCTCGATGACCCTAGTCGAAATTGGTATCCTTCGACGCAGAATTTAATTCTAAACTCAACCCAACCATTTGTAGAGCCAACCCAAGTGAGAAAGCAAATCGGAACGCGAAATACTTTTGTAAAAGTTCGCAAAAAAGTCAGTATTTCGAGTATAAGTGAGTTTTTTGCTCGATGACCCCAGTCGAAAGCGGCACCATTCGATGCAGAATTAAATTCTGCATATAACCCAACCAAGTAGAGAGCCAACCTAAGTCGAAAAACTAATTCGGACGAAAAAAACTCGAATATGATGCCAACTTTACCTACGTATATCTGTCCTTCTTATTTTTGCAGATTCGTCATCGGTGATACCTGCTCGTTGTCCCTCTCCAAGTAAGTGCATTTAATTTATTTGTATGACTCGAACATACACAGACCATTCTATGACTTTGTCATTGCAATGGCCTGGATATTAGTGTACTCGATTATGAGAAAATGAGTTAGATTTAAAAACTTTTTTTGTTTAACTTTTGTATTTGTGTTAGGACTAAATCAAGCAGAAAATAATAGCGTCCAGACAGAAACATATTTCATGTTGAATATTTTTGTGCAAAAGTATCAGCGAAATTCTCCTAAGGATTAAAACCATCGATGGATTATAAGATTTGGAGTCTTCTGTACTGTCTTGACGTCTACAACCTATTAGAGATCTTCTATTATGTTCCTGAAATGTTTAATTTACTTAGCAAGCGTTAGCGCCATCCAAAACAAACAAATAATATTTGAGTGCACCAAAAAAAAGTGGACTTGTAACAAAGAAGATCAATCAAACTCTAAAAGTTCTGTGAGAATCGTAATAATAAAGGATTTTCGAAAGAATCAGATCAATTATTCGTAATACTTATGTTCCATGTAATTAAATAGTTGGAGGAAAGTAAATGAAAATTTTTATAAATCAAAGATGTGTAAATAAGCCATTTGTGTTAAGACTTGATTGATGTGCACGAAAAAAAGCAAAGAACAATAGACCCTTAAAAGGATTCATGAAAATTTCATAGAGATCATTATTCTACGCTTTTTTTTATAGTATAAATTGAATCCTTTCAAAATCAAGTGTACTGCGAACTTCGTTTTTAATTTCTAGTTCACTTGAATAATAATGGTTATCCTAGAAGAAAGTTTATAGAAAAAGCGCAGTTAGATACATGTGAAGGCTGTTTTTTAGGATCCTTTGTGTTTGTTTTAAAATAGTCTTTGAGTATTGATGCTAAAAGAAATCTGTTCGCAGAGATGGAAGAGGCATTTCATAGAGCGTGCATCATCGCCAGATGTCGGGATGAAGGTGAGTTTCTTCCTTCCCTAAACATATCTAGACCCTAATGATTCCTAATATTTGCATATTCATTCTTTCTATGATCAAAACAAAAGATTAATTACATTATATATATTATCTTTCAGAAAATATATAACTATCTGGATAGATACTTCACGCCCATGGCAAAGTTCAGAGGTCGTAATCTGTTTTTTGAATAGCTATAAAACAATAAAAGTTTAAAATTTTTGATTTTCATTACTGTTTACAGTTCATAAGAAAATTTTCTTGCTTTTCTTATTAGATATATGCTTAGTTTAGAAACTGACTCTTACGCAGTCTGTATTACAAAACGAATTTTCAAGCATAATAGAATGTGTAGAAAGATTTCTTGGATGATTAAATTACCAATACTTGTGACATTATTTCTTGTAAGATTTTTACAGTTTTTAAATGAGAATAATAGTTAGCGATCTCAATCTTGTGTTTTATTTCGAACTAATAAAGTCATCTACAACATTATTATATTTAAAATAAGAAGAGTGAAAGGATTATCTATCAGCTTTCTAAAAATAGCTAGAATTATATAGGTTATAATTGGTATTGAAAACAAAGTGAACTCTTGGGTTTTTGTTCTTTCAAAATCTGCGTATGAATTGTAAATATTATAAAAATATGTTAGATATGAAAAAATAATCGTAGAAAAAAACGATTGAGAAGAAGTATGGAAACTGAAAAAACCAAAGCCATGTCTGAACACATGCAAACTTTGAATATTAAAGATGTCGATCACAGTTCCTGACTGTGAGCTAGAAACGATCAGAAAAACTAGACTTGACAATGACTAACAGTCTGTAACAAATAAATCTACCATAACTTTAGCTAGTGACCGATATTGGACGATATTTTCGGAGGATCTTTTAAATTGAGTTATTTTTTTCCATAATTCTTTAAAGGAAATGAAACCACATTAATGGAGAAAGCAAAACACGAACTCTGTTGTGATAACCAAGCCTTTTTAAAAGTAAAATAGCTATTGATTTTCTTTCCAAATATCATATTCTAAAGAGCATCTGATGCTGCATCAGATAGCAAATGATTTCAAGTTTTCCAGAAAATCTTTTTCGATTTTGAGAGTGTTTTTGAAAAAACTTGCAACGTCATATGAACTTTCGAATATGATATTCGAGAAGGAAAAATACTCATCATATAACAATGATAAATAGTTCACAGGAACATTGTTAGTTGTCTGTCATAAAATAAACATTTCACTTCGTAGATATTTTACTTTTAGAAAGTTTTCGTTATCTAAATGGACTTCGTGTTTTGCTTTCTCTATTTATAAGGATTTGAGTCCTGTTGAATAATTGTGGAAATAATCATAACTCAATTTTGAAAGGTTGTCCAAAAAAAATTTGTGCAGCATTATACAACATAATAAGAAATTCATTCAACAATTGATTGCTATTTGTTTTCTAGTTGATCTGAAATAATTTCAATATGATGCATATATTAGTCATTACTCGTTCTTATTGAGACAAATAGTTTATGATTCAATTGGTTTTGTTTTAACCAGTTGAATTTTCCAAGAACTTCTCTTAACGAAAAATAATTTCTTTTATGTTTAGGAAAATCCTATATATAATCTTACTTTTAAATTTCCATACATTTCTATAGCTTCATAAAGTGACGCTAGTAAACCAGATATAAACTATGTCAAACACTATTATTTATTACTTTACGTAGAAAGAAATTGAATTAGTATGTGTTTAAAAGGTAAAATGTCAACCCAAAGATATATGTTTTGATATAAAAGGCTTTGGATCATTTCCTCGATAATGAAAGTTTATATAGAATTATTTTCTGAGAACTTGTTTTATTTACTATAGACTAAATAAAGTATCATCACTAGCTTACCTTTTAAGACTCAGTGGAAGCTTCTTTATCCTTAAAATCATACAAAACCTGTGATTCATCAGAGCAATTAATCATGAGACTATATCTTGATTGAAGTATCTAAGCTGACGATTTTTTCTCATCTTCGTAAAGGAAATCTCAAGGAGTTGCTTAAGAACTTCTCGAGAAATTACAACAGAAGCTCCCTAGGAATCGAAAGGATTTTCTTATGAATCTAGTACGAAAACTAGACCTATTCTAATTCTTCATACACGATATCGTTCATTGTTGTATTCTGATCGAACAATGGTTGCGTCTAGACG